ATTTTTAATTATTCAAAATAATACATTTGTATTTTATAAATGTTTTATTAAGCTTGTACTGTACTGTACTTTAACCCCTGCACTGTGCACCTGTTTCATGTGACAACTTCGTGGTGCAGTTGTTAATGAATTATTAACATTGAACATTTTTAAAAATGAGAAAAATATAAAAATGCTGCCAAACTCTAACATTTTCATTTCAAGTCAGAGTGAAAAAAACACTAAAAAACATCAAAATGCAGTACAGGTATTGCTAAATTTTAAAAAATTCTCACCAACCATCGAAAGGCACAATTATTTCAGTGGTTAAATTGTACAAATGAATTTGTTAATTTTTTTATCTGGGGTGTTCAAACTTACTGTGAGGGCGTATCTACTGACCAATTTACCGTATGCTTGTAATCTTTCTCATTACTCAAGTATTTACACAACTTTTCATTCATCATTATCTGTGAGTTGAAGGGATGTGGTGCAGCAAGAGTAATGTTGGTACATGAGACATGGGTAAGAGGTTGGGAAGGAAAGCAGCTAGCAGAGGAGTATGACATTGGTACTAGTGTTGTATTTGACAAATAAAAGGGAAGCAAATCCTGTCATTTGTGCATGAAATGGAAAGTAGTGGTTGAATGAGAAGTGACATAAAAAGTGAAGTTAATAATTTTTTATTTTTTATCCATATTTATTATTTATAGGCACACAATCATTATTTGTCTAAACATGCATGAATATATATATTTTATCACCTGATTCAAGAAAAATTTGGAAAATTTGGTGATAAATGCAGTATTCCCAGAAGGACGAATCTCTGGAAACCCAAATTTCACAAATCAGGAATACTATCTGGATTTTGGAGATTCCACTGTAATGGTAACATTGGACTGTATGGCCCCAGTACTGTGGTGATGTACACGGCTTATAGCACCATGGAACTGGTGACAGTAAACATTATGCCAGAGTTACTGATGTAACAGACTAATGAGTTTAGGATGAAGGTAAACTTATTAACATATCCTCCTGGCATCACTGGGTTTACAGAATCAAAATGGGTGCATAGGTGAAAGTTGTTTTAAGCTCATCAAAATGCTGTAACGCTTCAGCTGTATTATTGCATGCATGCCCAGTTTGCCTAAATCATTTCTGCTGTGCTGATAAGTTAGTATTATTTTGCAGATGTCTTGTGATCACATGCCTTGAGATTGAGGTTATTATTTGATGATTGTTTCTATTATGATAAACCAATACTATTTAATATCCTTAATTTATTATGCACAGGTGTTATAATTTTTGTCTGCATTATAAAGCATAACTTATTTCATTGTGCAGCTTGGCGTCTTCTTTTGATAATTGCTTGCTTATTTCATTGTGCCAGAAATAAATGTTATTATTATAAGTAAAACACATGAATATAAAGGCACTTTGTTTGCATATACAGTATTGACAATTGCTCAGTGTGTGCACAAGCAACCATGAATTAAATAAAGCTGTATTGAGACACAATGAGAATAGCAAATCAAACTAATCATATCAAAAGTTTTATTCTTAAATGTTTGTGTATTTATAATTGATAAAGTTATAGTACTGTACATTAATGAGAGATTTCCATCATGAGACTAGAACAGTGACTTAAATCGTGACATCATTGTTGAGGTGACATTGTTAGCCCCCAGCAAGCTAAAGGAGATAACAAATGTGGTTTGTTCTGTCATATCCCCAGATGCTATGCTGGTTTGGAGATTGTGCTCACTTGTTTACATACAGGTCACCTATACATAACACAAATTCCTGCTTCCAGCTGTGGTGTTTCCCTAAGTATGCAACATTTGCCGGCCAGTGTCCAACATTAGGGGGAACTTAAACACGCATACTGGTACATTATCTCATAGATTGCACTGTGTAAAAAAAGATAATTTTTTGTTTATGGATAGTGTTATTTTCTAATTATTTATGCCTCTAAAGTATAAAAAAAAAGCTATTATTCCCTTCAAACTTTGCTTTCACCTTAGCCCAAGAGAGTTTAGCAAAGACGTCTTGAAGGTACCTGGAGGCTTGCGACTTGTAAAACAATGTGTTGCAGCACTAGATAAAGATGTCTTCCCTAAGCTGTCCGAGGCAAAGGGTAAAGCAAAATTTGAGAGAAATAATAGTCATTTTCTGTATTTTATAGACATAAACAATCAGAAAATAACACTATCCAGGAACAAAAATTATTTCACTGTGTTGCCAAGGTCATTGAGGATGTTATTTACTCTCATGCTGGGATGTGCCATTGCTTTCCATGTGAATAGGATATTCCATATTATTAAAGAGGCTGGTATCCCACAAATCAATTTTTGTATTTTTTGTATTCACTTTTAGATACAGTATTTAATCCTTAATGCTAGTTTTTAATTTATTGTATATTTACCAGTATTTGTAAGTGGTAAATTTGGTTATGATTCATCATAACCAATCAAGAGAGAAGACATGCCATGGAACAGGAGGAAAGTCCTAAGGGTTAAGGGGGAACCAAAAAGCCAGTTCAAGAGTATTGTAGAGGTTGGTCTCTGTTCCTCCGGACATTCTTGTAAAGAATTTTGTTTGATCCAGCAAACACTTCTCGGAGGAGTCCCTTGGGGCTCCCTGAAGATATCTTGCTGAAAGGGCTCCCAAACACTGGGTCACATCAGTTTCAGGAGCCCTTTTAATCTACCGGGAACCAGAGCCAGAACCTAGTACCTTGCACAGAGCAGTGGACTATTTTCATCACCCTCAGTGAAGCACACAGACAACTGTAAGAGTCATAGAAAATGAAACATCAAAACAACTCCACAAAATATTCAGGTGAAACAAATGAATCTTGAAAATTTCAAGTTTCGAGAGAATCTTTTGAAACTAGTGACAGCTATTGAAACCGATAGCTGTCACCGGGTGGCGTGGAGCCCTGGACCATCTTTGCCCTGCCACTCAGTCCTAACTCCTCATTCATGTTGCTGATGTGGAAAAGTCCACTTGTAGAGGGCTACCTGGGCCAGTCTTTTGCAGCATGACCCACTGCTTCTAAGCCAAGTTCTGGCCATCATTTCATGTCCTACAGGTGCCATTTGTTTGTGTATTATTCTTTTAGTGCGTGCTTCACATGCATATGTTTACATCTTGGCGAGAGTGCGTGGGCCTGGTATATTTTACACGCATGTTTATAAAGCATGCAACGAACACCCTTAGTAGCCACATTGTTTACAGGCTGAATTCATTGTCTGTTCTTTTGGCAGCACCTCTATTGCCTGGCTGCCCTTCTTAGCTACCTTCAAGCTCTGGTACCTGTAATTTCCACATGGGTCTGCAATGTGGCTTGTTTTAGCTCAACCCTTCAAGTCCACATTCACTACGTGCACATTTGAAGGGTGCTCGTTGGTTATACCACTGGATGGTGATCATTCTCTACCTACACCAAGCTGCCTGCTGTATCAATGATACATATGACCCAGGGTCCTGCATCATGTGTGCACATATTGTCTCCTCTCTCTGCTTGCTTCTCATTATGAAGTTTGCCAGCTTTACAGGTGTGATTTTCCCATGCTCAAGGTTCACAGTTTGTTGCTTGTTTGAATGCTCTGGAGATGGCCATTTTGGTGCTTAGGGACATGGATTTGTTGAACTCCTGGGCTAAGTCTGCATCTTCTCTTCCTTCCCCCTGCAGGGGTAGGGGGGTTTCCCTACTAATAGTCTCTTCCCCACCTCCTGGATCCAGCTCTGGTGTGTGTGTGTGTGTGTTTTTTGGAGTCGAGCCTGGGTTCACTTGGGGTTTTACTTGGCCTTGGCCTGGGGGGTGGTCCCATTCATTTTGAGAGTGGAGGCAGCTGAGCTATCTCTTCCTGCTGGAGTTGCGGAGCTTCACCTTCACCACTACACACTCTCCCTCTGATCTTTCTTCTCGGGACAACACCTTTCTGTTGTCCGTTTGGACACCATTCTGTTGTCTCCTTAGGACGACACCTGAGGGTTGGGCGTGGAATGTGGCTCTGCCCCAGGGCCATGATGGTTGGCTTCTGGAACTAGGGAGGGAGCCCAAAGAGGATGTGTGTGTGCGCCCTTGACCCATCCTGGACATTGGTTTCTTCGGTGGAGGGTCTTTTGCTCTTTTGGAGAGCTTTTTCCTTCCCATGTTGTTGCATGATCTGGTAATCCTTGATTGCTCTCCCAAGATATCATTTACATGTGCCTTTCAGTGCTTCAGACTTGTCTTAATTCAATAGGTTCCCATTGTCCAATGTTGCACTGGTTTTGGCTTATGCAGGGTTGCTTTGGTTCCTTCTGCAGGGTTCAGTCGTCACTTCCTTGCTGGCCCCTGCCTCATTCGGGTCTGGGTCTGCTTTGCCTTCTTGTCTGCAATGTGACGTTTCCTGTTTCTTCTGGCTAGCTGACACCCCTCCTTTCATAGGAGGCTTTGCAAGGTTTTTCAAGATAAAGTGCTTGCTTGGTGTGCAGCACATGACTGCACCTTTACGACTACCTGTGCTTCTGAAGCCCTTTTTGGTGGTTTCCGCAGGGCTCTTAAGAAACTTTATATTTGCATTTCTAGGCTGTCATGGGGAATTTTTGTGGACCAGCATAACATGGCTTCACTTGCCTCTGTTCCAGATGTGAGGGCCTTGATTTTAATAAGTGTGTAGGGTTCACATCATATGCTTGCAGCAGGATTAATAGGAATTACTGTATCTGAAGGGACATTATGTAGTATGTAGCTCTTATCTTCTAGTTGTATTTCTTGTCATAGAAACTTGGTTATAGCTTCTATGGCCTATTTTTTCCCCTTATCTGTAGATCTGCATTATGATTTTAGAATTTTAAATACTGTTCAGTAATTTGGAAGTGGCTAATTAGCTGTAAATAACCAATTATGTGTTTCTAAGAAAGGTGCTTTACAAAGAGAAAATACAATAAATGACTAGTTTTTTATAGGAATGCAAACTTGTTATTGTATATGTAGTGTGTGAGTGTAACATTTCTATTGTGACTTTCAGAGCCAAGATGGCGACATGTGGCAGGTGTACCAGACCTACAGTCCTGACGTATATTCTCAACCCACTGCCAAGCCTCGTAGAAAGAGGTCAGGCATTCCACGACCAAAGCACAGTAGATCTGCAAGAAAATATGATAAGTAGCTAAGTGTTTTACATATGCCTGTTACTGGCAATCATTAAACAATGCCTAATTTTCATGGAAAATAGATCATAGCAGATCTCTACTAATGAAGTGAGTAGATTTTAGTTTTTTAATGTACTGTAATTATACAAAAATGTGTAATCTGAATTTGTAGTTTTCCTTGTGTCATACCATACTTTAAAAGGTATCACACTAATTTGTATAAAGTATATATATATATCATGTGATCTTTTTCCCACTATGTGGGGTGTATAGTACTTTTGATGTTTGTCAGTACAGTATATATCAAGTTAAATTGAGCTCACAAGATTCAGTAGTTTATTGTAATAACTTATAATTTATTATGTTTTTCATGTATAATCAATCTATTTTTGATAACTTTATAGTTTATTTAAGTGGTTGTCACAAAAATATGGTTCCAGTAAAGATGAATTAAATTAATAGGTATTCTATTTAATTACAATATGTTAATAATTATTGTTGTATAATAATTGTATTCTTGTATTAATGGTGTCAACTTAGGCATTATGCAAGCAACTCCCAGACATGTTTCCCAGTTAGTGATGTACTGTAGCACCGTATTAGTGTGGAATGGATACTGTAGGTGTTCTCGGACATCACTGGCCGAGAACATCGTCTTGGCCATTACTTACTTTTCACCACATTTTTCACCTTCCGTCATTGTGAAAAATACAGTTCACCACAAAAGTCTAGGAATTGTTTGTGTGGTATATTCCCTTATTTCATTGCTAGGTATTGACTCCCATTAAATTAAAACAAAACAAAAATAACTGGATTTTATATGCAGTACAGTATAAAAAAAATTTTTATGCCCAATATTATATCGAATATAATAAAATTATAACTAACTGGTCATTATACAGAAGACAATAAGATTTGAGCCAGTTGCACTCATAATGTAGGCCTGAACTACATTAGGCCTTAAGCTTTCTGTTGGTCTGGAAGGTCTTGTATGGGATAAATTTGACCTATAATATTTGGTATTTGTCAATAGCATTAGATATTTTTTTCGACTTCATTTTTTGAACATTTCTCAGCTTTATTAGGTTAAATTTTTAAAAGCATTTTCTGGAAATTGTATCTTCATTCCTTGACACTAACTGTTAATTTAATATTTAGTACAGTTGTACAGTGTCATTTCATTTATCTGAATCAATGTGTGGATGTACAGTATGATTGAACAAAAAGGCCACATAAAGCAATTTCTGCACTTCTTCAACCCAATGAATTTTTATTATTTTTGGAGGGGGTAGGATGTCCCTTCAGAAATATCTGGTTCTCAAGACAAGAGAAGCTTGGGGATTGGAAATCAACCCAAAACCCCCCAAAATCTACCAGTAATTGCTTACAAACACGTTAGGTACCTGGAGGTAAGAAGGCAATCATTTTCCATGGTGTAAACACTGGAATCACAATGTACCCAATTGCCATCAGTTGGTAGAGCAATTTACTAGAGGCCCCAGCTGGCCTGCACCCTCACTAGTCTAGTCACAGCATTAGTTTCACTGAGCCCATCCTCTGCTTCATGCTTAAGCTAAGTCATGTTGGCTATCCCTGGAACTAGAGTTCTAATAAGGGTCACTGTTTGATAATTGTTTCCTTACTTCTACATGATTGTTTTATGTTTCCATTTCCTGTGGGGCCTTCTCTGAGGATATGATCTCGGTGTCATTTACTTTCAAGTGCGTGCCAAAAGTTCTCGTGAACTGTCTTGCTTTTGTCCAATTTCAACACAATAGCTGGTCGACTAGGCCTCCTTTGCGCGAATCATCCATAAGCAGATGGACCAGTTTACCTTCTTATGTAATCCGTGGCTTCCAGTACAGTACTGTATTTATGGCACCGATACTTATCGTGAGGCTCTTGTGGTGAATACGTTTTGCCTGGACTGGAATCATTAGTCCCTCTGCTTCCTTTCGTGCTATCCAGGTTGGAGACAGTTGTGGGGCCTGTCTTTCTTCTGGCTTCCATATTGTCCTATTAACCCTTATCCCCATCTTTTTCCTTCCCAAGGTATCAATTGCTTGGCTGGTTTAAGACACTACTGATCTGAAAGTATGGCACTTTTAGGCTTTGTGTACACCTGTGTGGAAGCAGAGTAGCAGACCACTTCGTTTTACATTAATCTTTTTATTTGAGGCAGCAGAATGAGATGGTTTAGTGTACCTTTCATGTGTCTCTTCAGCAACTGTCTTCTGTCATTGCCCATTGTGATGTCTTTCATTTTTTGGCTCTTCCACGATTGCTGAATGATGCCTAATACTCTTACCTTATATCGTTTGGCCTTGTCAGAACACTGCTGGTCATGATGCTTTTGAGAGTTAGCTTGGTGAGCTACTGAGGGAACCCTCCCAGAAATCAAGCTTGCCTATCAGTGACTATTGGGCAGCAAGATGCTCTTTATGCCTGGAAGGAGGGTTTGGTTTGGGCAGCTCTTGAGTGAGGGTGCAGGCTGGCTGGGTCCCCAGGTGACTGGGCTGCCACCTGGTGGCAGTCAAGCACATCACTGTTAGGGTGTTTAACCATTAAACTGCGCAACGCGCCTGCAAGCGCTCTATGGGGGGGGGGGTGCAATGCGCCTCCGAGCTCTTATATTTTTAGTGTATGATTCAAAACTCCTGCGGCTACATGGGGTTCACATCAGCTTCCTCAGGGCTCTTGTAAACAGATGCCATTTAAAAAAAAAATCGTGAGCAACATTTCTGGGTGTGAGAGCCTCAGTACTGAGTGAGCAACCAAGGCTGGTGCACACAGCATGAGCTCACAGCACTGCTGTTCAGCTTGTGACCACAGCATTGCCTAATAATGTCAAAATATATATATAACTGGTATTATTTAGCCATGATAGTATTACAGAAGAGCCTGAGTGTGATAATGACTGTGTACAAAGTTCAAATATCAGTGAATCAATGCTGTTCACGATGTTCACAGCACTAGCCACAGCACCACAGCATTATTTCATCCATCTAGGAATATTCAAACAACTTCATATGTTACTTTACAAAATAAACTTGGGCAATTATTCATTTACAGGATTTAGTGACCATGATTGTGATAATAGCAGGATTGTGGTATAAGTAGTGCTGTGCGTAGTATTGTGAGAGGTGGTGGTTTGGTGAGGGAGGGAGTCCAGATAGCGTCACTGTGTGTGGCAACCAATCTTGTTTTGCTCACCATACTAGCTTAGTGGTTTGCTATGGTGAACACATATGTATATGGTATATACAATGTGTGTATATACCCCATGTACATATGTGCGTAGTATTGTGGGAGGAGGAATTTTGGTGAGGGAGGGAATTCATATAGCGTCACTGTGTGTGGCAGCCACTCTTGTTTTGCTCACCATACTAGCTTAGTGGTTTGCTATGGTGAACACATATGTACATGGGTATATACAATGTGTGTGTATATAGTGTAATAACAGCAACAGGAGTATGTTGGGAGGAGCCATTTTGGTGAGAGGTAGCGTTGTACTTGTAGTGTCGTCTGCTGGCTGCTGTGTGATTTCTCATGCGGTGTATGGTGGCCACTATGCTATTTTGACACAGTACCGGCTTAGTTGTATAGTTATGGTGAATAAATCATGTAGATACATATACATAACGTGTGTAAATAGTGTAATAAAAACAATAACAGTATGGTGGGAGGAGTAAGCTAGGTGTTGGAGGAGTGAGGGAGAGCTGACTGGGTGTGGCAGCTCACACTTGCAGAGTTCTGAGTGTGTTGATGGTAAATGTATATAGTGTGTGATAGTGTATAGTGTGTAAATATGTTGTAAATATACATAAATGAACATGAAATATTGGATATATGAGCAATATATGTGGACACATTTGTGACACATATAATAGTGTCTTGGGACAGTATGGATGTTCTACTGCCATAATATTGTGTGTGTGTTCATTATACATAGGATTGGCAAGAAAAAACAAAACAAATGCATTTGGAAATGTACGCAAAAAATTAACAAAACAATATTTGTGGCAACTCGCGCATGTTGAAGCTGGTGGGCGACAGGCTTCGGGAGTCTAAGTGACGGGCGACCACCAAATCGTGACATCACACGCCATTTTCCAGACCCCATTGCAGCCAAAGTAATTACATTTTTTTTTTTTTTTTTATTATTATTATTATACATATCTGTGATCAGGGAAGGGTATTTAACATTTTCAAAATCAAAAAGAATTTTTTCCCGAGAATTCATTTCCTACGCACAGGGAGGGGTGCCTTATTTGGAAGATGAGCAGCACAGTGGTTAAACTGTATACTTTCTTAGTAGCAATGATCATTTGCCAAGTTACCATCGGGTACCAAATTTTCTTCAAGTGTTGCTTGTTTTGTTGCATACATGCTTTCTGGTGGGTCTTTACACAGTTTTGAGTTGATCTCTGATCCTCAAGTTTTCCTCGCCTAGAGGGAGAACCAGATTCTTGTTCTGGCTTCAGGTAGGCAAGGATGAGATGTGTTTGTAGGGTTTGGCTAGACCAGTGCTTAACTTTAGGAGCTGCTGAGGGCCAAAAGAAAGTGGCCTTTCTTAATTTATATTTATTCATTATATTTAATGCTTGATGTTTTATTGGAAATAGTGAAACAGTTTAGCATGTTTTAACAGACGTGTGATAAAAATTCATGTAAATACAAAGAAATACCGGTATGTTGGAAAAATATTTGTATTTTGTAAAATTGTATGAATCGGTCTTTGCTTTTCATTATTATTGTAGTGATCTGCTTTAGCATAATACTGCTGCAAGACATCTTTCCTAGTCAAGAGTGAAATTAGATAATATCCTTGAAATTTATCCATGATTGCTCTGTGGTGTAACATGGGAGAGGAACACATGGGTTTTTTGACAGGTTTACAGTGCTCAACGCAAGAACTGTAGACCTTAAATTGACAAAATACCCATGTGCTCCTCTCCCATGTTACACCACAGAGCGATCATGGATAAATGATCGCTCTGTTATATTAATATTATAAAAGAGGAATTAATTTATAACAGGTAAAATATTATTTAATATTAGGAAAAATGTAGAGGGCAAAATATTTTTGTTGGTATTGTAATTTTTTTTTGTACGGACACCTGATTATGTGAGAAAGCCCTTGCTCTATTTATCTGGCAACTGTTCAGATACATGAGAAATATACCCAAATAATCAGGAAAGGTGAATAATTATGATCCAGGTAAATGAAGTAACACTGTAGTAGTGCTGTAGTGAAAGGCTTTAGTGAGGAGTGGATGTGTGTTGAGCTTTTAACACACTCAAATACTGTACTGTACTATGCCATTTTAGATTTCTTGATCTGGTTATCATTTAACAATAAATTTACACATTCTTTAAAAATCATACATTCATTTATGATGCGTTTTTGTAGCGATTTTTTTTTAACTACGGTATTTTATATTAAAGTATTATGAATAAAATCTTTTTATATAATCAATGCAAGAAGATTAAAAATAGTCTAGATAATACTAAAACACACATTCTTGAATAATAAATTTATTTATAAAATCATGCATAAATATAAATTTATAAACAAAACTGTACTACCCAGAATTTTATACTGTATTTTGCAAGTTATTCTGTATTATCTAGTGTGGGCCCATGGCGTGATGGCTTTAGCTTGCTTCAGCATCCACTCTACTCTTAGAACAGATTACAATGAGCTTCTGTGATATTCTCATTACATTTGTTTTTTTCATGCAGTGTAAAATACAGTATTATGTTAAATTTACAACTTCTCTAATAGGGGGTTTGGATGTAGCTGTAAGCTTCGTCTCACGTATATGCTCAAATATTCAGAATCTAGTCATCTGTATAGTCAGCTTCTTGAAACTGTAAAAAATCTAAATATTGTATTCAGCTTCAGCTTGTCTATTATTTTATATAAAGTTATGACTTGCATTTTTTTTTAGCAGCTGCTTTGATATTTATTAAACATGACTATTGTGCTTCATTATTTATTTGGACCTACAGCACTTATAATTTGATGTTAATATGCACCAGAACTTTGGTTACTACAAACAATGTATTTGTTTATGAACGAAGTTAAAGTATAAATGTTTCGTTATATTTATGGAAATGCTATAAAGCATCAGTCTTCAGAGCCACCAAGGCATTTGAAAATTGTTTGAAATGTTTAACCTTTTCTTTCATGTCGATAGGATAATGAAAGTTTACTAAAGAGGATTTGTTTGTTCTTGGAATTGTATTAAGATTATTTGGAAAGGACAGATGAAATGGAGGTACAGTATTATTATAAAGTGGCAAATTTAAATTAAAAGTTGACCATTTGATTTTTTTTTTAGTCTGGTTTAAATGGATTTCCTGATAAATTGTGTGTTGTATAAGCAAGTAATTATCAAAAGCACCAAGCCAGGGAGACTGTAATATCATCAATGTTGCAGGATATTTAAAAGGTGCTAAATATCACTAAGGATGCCAATACGAGAGCAAAAGAGCATAAAGCGCTGTCAATAGTATCGGATTCACCAAGAATACTATCAAGAGACAAATGACTGCGTGGGACAGTCGTAAAGTAAGACACACGAACATCCTGAAAATTGGGACATTCAACCAACCTGTCATCGGTATACCATAGTACTTAATGTCATATGATGCTCATAGTTCCTATGATGCTAATGTTCGCAGTTTTCCTGTGGTAGATTTGCAGTTATTAGCCATCACCAGACTCCCAACCCTTCTTCACGTACCATAGTACAGTACGTCCCATAGTATCCAACCCATCGCCGTGGACACCAGAATAGTCTGCTCAAATTTTAATTTTAATTTTAATTTTCCATTCCCACTTCTGGTGTACTCACCTAGTTGTGCTTGTGGGGGATGAGCTCTGGCTCTTTGGTCCTGCCTCTCAACTGTCATTCAACTGGTTTACAAATTCCTCAGCCTACTGAGCTCTATAATATCTAGATTTGAAACTGTGTGTGGCGTCTGCCTCCACCACATCACTGCCTGATGCATTCCATCTGTTAACAACTGACACTGAAAAAGTTCTTTCTAACATCTCTGTGGCTCATTTGGGTACTCAGTTTCCACCTGTGTCCCACCTGTGCTAAACAGTTTATCTTTATGAATTCCTCTGTCAGTTTTGGAATACCCTATCAAGTCCTCTGAGAATTTTATAGGTAGTGATCATATCTCCCCTAACTCTTCTGTCTTCCAGTGTCGTGAGGTTCAGTTCCAACAATCTTTCCTCGTAGCTCATACCTCTCAGCTCGCGGACTAGTCTGGTGGCATACCTCTGAACCTTTTCTAACTTCGTTTTGTGTTTGACCAGATGTGGATTCCAGGCTGGAGCCACATATTCCAGTATTGGTCTGACATATGAGGTATACAAAATTCTCAATGATTCCTTACATGAAGGAGAATTTTGTGTAATTATTTTCATCCTATTCGAATATCATGGATCAGCTACATCCTGTTGAAGGGTTGTAGTCTAGGTTTGAGGAATCTTGGTAGTTCTCGGTAAATTATAATAATTGTTCTATGAATTATCTGTAAATATTTCAATTGGTGCCAAATTATATACAATAAGATATGCTTACACAAATTAAAGAAAATAGATCGTACATTATGTATTATAAACAACATACTGTATAGGGTAGGGTACATTACACTACCGCCCAAAGGATGGGTATGGGGGCAAATACCGTTCACAGGATGGGTATGGGGTCCACAATCCCCCAGTGGATGGGAATAGGGACCATAACACCCACAGAATGGGTATTGGATCCAGTACTACCAGCACATGTACTCTGTACCACCATGTGCACCTTGTGTTTCCATATGTACCCTGTATGTACTCTTTACCCCCACATGTACTCTGCACCACCACATGCACCCTGTGCTGTGCTAGTACAGTCGGGTTCGTTCACGATGCACAATCAAGAATTGCGGTTTAGTATCCTGGGCGGGACAGAAATGGTTGGGCACATTTCCTTTCACCTAATGCCTCTGTTTACCTAGAAGTGAGAAGGCATCCAGGAATTAGTCAGCTTGTTGTGGGGTTGCATTCTAGGGGGGGTCAGTAATTCGTCCTTGGTGGGGAGGGGGGGGAAGGGACCTCGATATAAGCCTAACGTGTACGAATACACTCTGGCTTCCTTGATTGATTGATGAAGAGTAAGCCAAGTTCAAGTATGTTTATTGAGACAAAATAATACATCCCAAAGGCTTAGGCTATTTCTACCCCCGTCCCCTCCCCCAGATTAAGCCACCCAAGATTGATCGATTGATTGATGACGATTAAGCCACCCAAGAGGTGGCATGGGCATGAATAGCCCGTAACTGTCTTCCTTTCTCTGGCTTGTATGTACCCTGTATCACTACATGTGCTCTGCACCCCACTCTGAAAGAGCCGATTGGTATTGGGCAATAAATGTGAAAAGAATATTAATAATTACCAAAGCAATCAATACAGTTTATGCATCCTGGGAATGGTCAGTAATTCGACCTTGTGGGACTGAGCACAGAGGACAGAACGGAGTCCTTGTGGGACTGAGCGCAGAGGACGGCATGGAGGCCTTGTGGGACTGAGCACAGAAACCTTGTGGGGCTGAGCACAGAGGACGGCATGGAGACCTTGTGGGGCTGAGCAAAGAGGACGGCACGGAGACCTTGTGGGGCTGAACATAAAGGACAGCATGGAGACCTTGTGGGACTGAGCACGGAGACCTTGTGGGACTGAGCACAGAGACCTTGTGGGACTGAGCACAGAAGACGGCATGGAGACCTTGTGGAACTGAGCACAGTGTTCCAAATTTAGGTAAATCATTTGCTCGTGAGGAGGAAATTGATTACCATCTCTGATTGCCTCTGAGCAGCCTGAGGTCAGCAATATTCCGAGAAAATTAAGAAAATCTAGTTGACTTGAGGCAAAGTTAAATAATTAATAATAATAATTATTAAAATTATTAATTAAGATTTATTTTTCACCTATCGTTATATAGCTACCACCGATGGCTCCTTATTTTTGTATTGATGATTTTTAAGGCTTAATAATTAAGATTGTAGTGAAGTCGTCAGCGAAGATGATAGCTGTTGACAGATGAATACTCTCTACTAAAATAGTTTACTCTTTACTAAAAATAGTTAAAAAAAAGTTATAAGAAAGTTCATCCTGTGTCAACTAATGTTTCAACCCATGATTTAAACCACTATTCTACAGTGCATCGTACATCGTGTTAAAGGTTAGCACTTAGGAGAAATCTTGGTGCTTCTCAGTAAATTATAAGAAGCACTCTATAAAGTATTACATATAATAATGGTTCGTTCGCGAAACATTATATACAATAGTGTAAGCTAAGGAAAAACAAAAAGAGAATGGATTGTAGGAACGTCAACAGAAAACGATGTGACTGGAATGTCTATGGGGTACACTACTGCAAAAAGGATGGATGTAAGGTGGTCCACAACAAGCACACGATGTTTATGAGGTCCACTACCACCCAAAAGGATAGGTATGGGACTGACTGATGCCCACCTGTTTGATGGGTATTGGGTCCACTACCGCCAAGATGATGTGTATATGATTCACGGCCGCCCATAGGGTGGGTATGGGGTCCACTACCACCTGTAGGATAGGTATGAGGCCTACAACCGCCCATAGGATGAGTATGGGTCCACTACCATCCAAAGGATGGGTATGGGGTTGACTATTACACACGGGTGGGCGGTAGTAGACCCCACACCCATCCAACGGGTGGTAGTGGACCCCATACCCATCCAACGGGTGGTAGTGGACCCCACACCCATCCAACGGGTGGTAGTAGACGCCATACCCATCCTACGGGCGGTAGTGGACCCCATACCCATCCTTCGGGTGGTAGTGGACCCCATACCCATCCTTCGGGTGGTAGTGGACCCCATACCCATCCTACGGGTGGTAGTTGACCCCATATACCCCCTCCTACGGATGGTAGTAGACCCCATACACATTGAGTGACTTGTAGTGGACCGTATATCCATCCTGAGGATATACTGGCAGTGTCGAAGGCAGTAATGGTCAGTATACAGGTTCCCAAGTTAGTTTAGTTCATTTATTATGCACCCCATACCCATCTTGTGGGCGGTAGTGGAAAGGGTTACAGAGGCACATAATGGGCTCAGGGACTGACCCCACAATTCATTTAGCTAAGCAAGTTACAATCTTGATGAGCTAGTTACAAAATTCACCGACGAGAGGCATCAACATCAGAGGCTAGCGTCACGTGACAGACTTGACGTGGTGAGAGGCTATGTTGTGTTATGTTATCTTGTCGTTGTAGATGTTCGTTATATATCCCGAGACGGTCTTATATAGTTGCCTGTCATGGGACGTTAATAGTTATTATAAAGCATAAATGTTCCCACTTCAATAAGTTAAAATCACTTAATTTATCATTAACGAGCAATATCTTAAGTCAATTGAAAGCAAATATTTAACATCATCCAGTGTTGCGTCAGGAATTTTGAAATTGAAATTGAAATTGAAATTGAAATTGAAATAAGTTTATTGAGGTAAAATACACACGAAGGGATGAGGTAGCTCAAGCTATTCTCACCCCATTCAGTACAACGTGTTAATATATACATAGACACACATCACAAATAAACACATTACCAAACATTCTGAGAGGTAAAAATATACATTTCCTCCCTCACAAGGAGTATGGTATCAGACGTACACACAAATACTTTTTACAGATGCTGTGTTGTGAGTAACCTCTCCATGCAGATAGATCCAATTTGTCATGTCAAGAGGACACACACACAAGTGTTGTATGTCCACCACTTTTTGGTTGTTGTGTTTGTTAGTCTTGTTATTGCATATATTGTATATTGTAGTTGTGGAGCGGCCATTAACAGTTCTGGACTGACGGACGATTACTACTTCACTGCCGATTCTACTGCAAATGTTGCTCTGTTGTACCTGTTGTTCTGTTGCAACATTTACAATAGAATGTTGTATTTGGTTTGTGAAATATGTGAAGACTTATACTGAATTTTGTAACTAGCTCATCAAGATTGTAATTTGCTTAGCTAAATGAATTGTTGGGTTCAGTCCCTGAACCCATTATGTGCCTCTGTAACTCTTTCCACCACCGCTCCCAAGATGGGTATGGGGTGCATAATAAATGAACTAAACTAAACTGAAATAGATTTTGAAATTAACTTCCAACATTTAAGCTGGGGATCATTATTGGTTCATTAGAGACTCGTTCGTATTTGGGGAAGTGAAGGAGTGGCTGTTGGCCAGTGATAATTGACACTTCAGACACGCAAAATGTTAACCAATGGGGTGAGCTTTAGGGTGAATGCCAACCAATCAGCGGCCGGGTTTGGTTGGCTGCTGGTAATAAAAGAAACGATGAGACAAAACTCACTTCAGTGTGGTTTTACCTCACTTTTGGTGACCAGTTCCAGGTTCGTCTCTTGCTGTTTGGCTGTGTGTGGCGGGTCCCCCTCCTCCTCATCCCTCGCCCCCTTGTTGCGTCACCCTCTCCCTCTCCCTCCCTTTGCTCCCTTGAAAAAAATATAAATTCTAAGCTATATTAAGTTAACGACTACTTTAACTCGGCAACCTAGAGATGTAATTCTAGCAATGGGTGAAGTGAAATTTTTTTAGCCATGAACTAGGTTCTGTTAATCTTCAGGATGTCCATCCATGGTATTTTTTTTTTTTATAACCATAGACGTTAATTATGTAACTTCCTGTCTAATATATATATTGTAAAATTGCCTTATAGAAGCATTTCAGTTGATTGTATAATTCCAGACTTGAGTGTATTATGTAAATAGTTGTAATGTAAGAAGTTAGGGGAATACTTGGTCCTGACCATTGTACCTAAACGATAGTTAACTACAGGATCGTAGTGGTGCAGTTGTCAGCGCCTCGGAGGTCTACACAAGGCTGTAACAAGCCGGACAAACGCCCAGTAAGTAAGTCAGATGTTTATCTTGGCCACTTCCCAACAGTGGATTACTTTAGCAGTTCAGAAAGTTGTAGTTTACTAATATACAAAACAGCCATACACGTTTACTGTATTAGTTACTTAGGCCAATCTTGACACTTATTCTGGTAAATGTAGACAGTTGATTGGTTTTTACTTTAAGTTAACAGCTTAACTAAATTATTTAGCAGTCACTGTTGCTACAAAGGTGTAGCATTAATCGGTCTTCTATAGTTTTTTCTTGGCTCTTCCCCCCCCCCCCCCTCTCTTCAAAAAAACCGGCCTGATTCGAAAGTTGTCGACAAATATTTAGATTATCTATAACCTTTTAGCTTAGAGGATTAACCACTGGTTTGAGTATCCTCGAAAGTAGTAACTTAGAACTAATTTAACTGTGTAATACAAAGATAGTAAAAAAAGTCAATAATTTTTACCTTGGCTTGCCTTATTAACCATATTCTTGCAGGAGGGTTAAGTGTAAATGGTCTCGTCTTAAATTGGTATTTCTTTCCAGAATGCTTCTGCTGACAATACTGGTGTGGGAGTGTAGTCTCGGGACTACAATGCCCCAGACGGGTCCCTGGTGGTGGTGGTGGTCTTCGTCTCCTGAGTAAAACCAGTTGTCTGCACCAGTATTCGTCTCGCCTCTCCCTTCCCAAAAGTCCTCTTTCAGGCACTCTTGTCCTTCCAACACCTTCCTGCACTGGAAGTGCCCCAACTTCCCTTCGCCCGTCACCCCCAGCTTGTCACCCGGCCTTGAAGGCCGCAGGGAACTACACACTCCATCCTGTGGAATACCTGGTAAGTAAAATATTCTGGTTTTGATTTGGTTACTCTAAATCGCATAGAGAAATGTGCTTAGAGTACCCAAGATGCAGGTTTGAAGCCGCAACATGGCTTTTGTCACAGTAAATTTCGATTAAATTAACTTTAAACCGTTTCAGATGCATGAAACAACGGCTGGTAAGAACTGTGCGTGAATACTAATACCTACAGCTGGGATAAAGTTAACTCTTACTGCTAGTCTTGGCAGAGGGTTCCAGCTAATTTCACTTTAAGGTAAAGAACACTTCAGTGAGTTGACTTGTGTTTAACATGGTCATAAATAATTGAAATGTGCATTAAACATTTAATATGGTCATCCTGCTGGACTAATTTACTTAACGACTAAGAATTGTTGTAACACGACGTAATATTGTGATCCAGTTCATGTGGAGAAGCGACTGAGGGCGGGGCGAGGGCCTGGAGGTGGTCATCCGGGTACACTGTCCTGCACCAACTGGTCTCACTGGAGGGTCAGTATGGCTTGTTTGACTGTATTAATTGGTCATTACAGCTCAAATTGTCATAATATACAGGGTGTTTGGTAGATTAAAGTGCAGGTTACTCATAAGGGGCTCAAAGTGTAAAGAGGTCCGTGAAAGGTAATAACTTAAAGATGTCTAGTCTTATCATAAGGAATATAATAGTGATGTTACTCCCGTCCTCAGGCTCGGGTGACAACAGGGAAGGCCAAGAGGACAGTCTCGGGCTACTGAAGAACATCTATAACGAAGGCATAAAGTGGCAGGACATTGCCAGCATGTCAGTCTGTCGTCTGTGGGAACAGCCTGAGATACATATTTTTGCCAGAAAATGGCCTCGTTCGTTGAAAGGTTAAGTTGTAAAATATTAAAATTTAAACTAGCACATGATTTTCTTGAATACCTTACCCAGGACTTTTTGATTTGTGTATACGACTTGCCACCAAATACCTTAAGTGAAGTTAGGGTAATTTTTAGTTTTAGGAAAATTAATAAATCCTTAACTAGTTAAAGAAATTATTAATGGCTTGACTTGTCCCAAGACAGTGTACATTTGGTTCACATACAAAGTAACTTCCCCCCACCCCACCTTCCACAACAGACAGGAGTGTAGGCGGGTTACTTGTAAAACCTCCTTCCCGGTTTGATGCTTTTTGATTATTACCTTGTAAAACCTGGTTGTGGCACTATTTTTAGGCCTCGTTCTCGGTGACCTCGCGAGGTATCAAAGATGGAGGCCTGTTTGTTAGTGAGAGTATCTGGAAGAAACTTAGTTTTGCACGAGATAAATGTTAAAGTAACGAAAGTATATCCCTCTGAAGTTTCTATGAAATTTATTAAAATATGGAACAAGTGATGCACGCATGTTGTTTGTTCCATCAGTTTTAATTGTGTGAACTAATACTTGCATTGATGGATATACTTTTTATTTGGTGAATTTCTACTTTAAAAATAGGAAAGATGCGCGAGTCGGCCACAACCCGAGTAACGTCAACCTCGTGAACTGCAGAAGACTGTAACCTCCTCTTGTGTGGGGCCGCCCACTGACGGGCAGTGAGCCGCATGTTGGGACGCCCTGGTGGAGTAAGAGTACGGACGCTTGGGCTGCCGCCTGAACGGGGAAGACTGGTGAACACTCCCGCTGGTCTCCTGCGTTGGTCCATTATTGTTGACTCCATTAATCCAAGCAACCTTTGTCCTCCTTCAAAGATCTCTTGTTCTCTTGGGCTAAAAGTTTTGCATCTGACATGTGATCCTGTGGTCCCGGGTTCGATCCCGGACGCCGGCAAGAAACAATGGGCAGTTTCTCTTTCACCCTATACCCCTGTTACCTAGCAGTAAAATAGGTACCTGGGTGTTAGTCAGCTGTCACGGGCTGCTTCCTGGGGGTGGAGGCCTGGTCGAAGACAGGGCCGCGGGGACACTAAAGCCCCAAAAATCATCTCAAGATAACATCTCAAGAAGACATGGTTTCGTGTAGGAGCTAGAGACTACATTAACTGTTGATCTTTTGGAAGAAAGCTGTCAGACGCCTCTGCCACTCAATTTTGAGTTTGCTTGTCCATTTTAGAATTCAATCTTGGATTAATACGAGGCAGTAGGACAATGAATATGAACTCTAGTTATCCATACTATTGATGTCATGGGTGTATCCATCTGGACTACTGTATGAAAGAATGTAAAAAGATTCTAAAATTCTTCAAACCATCTAAATATACAAATTAGTTGGTAGTTCATAAGTTTGATAGTCACATAACAGGTCTGATCTTGTCTTGTGCACCCTACACCCATCCCGCGGGCGAAGGTGAAAAGGGTTAGTCACATAATGGGTTCAGGAAGTGACAATCGTTTGAAGCTAGCTGGACAATTGTTAATGTAACGTGTACACATGTATACAATCATTTACATAAATACATACGCACCAATAATCTTCTGATATCAAGTGATTCAAGAGGCTCTAAAGTCACTATTCATGGCACTATAGTAACACTTTCTGTAGTCTTGCTTAACAGCCACCCTATTGGGTGGAGAACTTCAGCCATGTTCACAACACAACGGCGGCAGCTTTAGTCATGTGCGCCACCCAATTGGGCGGCAGCTTTAGTCATGTTCCCCACAACGGCGGCAGTTTTACCGCCACCCAATTGGGCGGCAGTTTTACCGCCACCCAATTGGGCGGCAGTTTTACCGCCGCCCAATTGGGCGGCAGTTTTACCGCCGCCCAATTGGGCGGCAGTTTTACAGCCACCCAATTGGGCGGCAGCTTTAGTCATGTTCCCCACAACGGCGGCAGCTTGTCATGTGCGCCACCCAATTGGGCGGCAGTTTTACCGCCACCCAATTGGGCGGCAGCTTTAGTCATGTTCCCCACAACGGCGGCAGCTTTAGTCATGTGCGCCGCCCAATTGGGCGGCAGTTTTAGTCATGTTCCCCACAACGGCGGCAGCTTGTCATGTGCGCCACCCAATTGGGCGGCAGTTTTACCGCCACCCAATTGGGCGGCAGCTTTAGTCATGTTCCCCACAACGGCGGCAGCTTTAGTCATGTGCGCCGCCCAATTGGGCGGCAGTTTTACAGCCACCCAATTGGGCGGCAGTTTTACCGCCACCCAACTGGGCGGCAGCTTTACAGTCACGTGCAGGCTGCACCTACAGTGGGCACATTTTGGATACTTCCCTCAGATGCCCGGCAGCACATCATTATGGATGAAGTTCTTGGACTCCATTGATGGTGTTCTCTGAATTCTGCGATTTTCCACATTCCAGTATATGACGACGCAAAATACGCCAATAGTTCTGCTGACAGTTTTCATTTAGTCACATCTACATCAGTAGATGTTACAAACTCCCAGAGGTACTTGTAGCCGAGCCTAAGCCTAGCCGTGGTGACATCTAGGCGTCTGCTAACCCTTATTGGATGACCTGTTTTCCGACCGCCCCTCGCGGTCGTTTGTCCTTCGATAGAATTCTTGGCGACTGGTACTTTTGATATCGTTCGCCTTATGCGTTTTTTTTTCTCGTATTGGCATCCTTGGTGATATTTAGCGCCCTCTGATTATCCCGCACATTTGATGGTGCTACATAGCCTTCCCGGTTTGGTGCCTTCTATTGATAATTACTTATTGGACGACTTATTCTATTATGCAGGAAGTACCGCATGATTGAGTAACTTGTGAATTTCACCAAGTTGAAGAGATTTTTATTGATAGTCCCGGAATATTACTGCCCTTAGACTGCTCAAAGTCAGTCCAAGATGGTAATTAATTCTTCCTTTGAGTAAAAGGTTTTTGCTAACTCAATTCTATCATGCATTTGGAAACCAATATGGGAAGTTCTTAGACGAGAACTATCTTGTGCTCCCCAATCCTCCAAAACGTACCTAAACCATACAACTTCAACATTGTAATCATTGCCTTCATATGGTTATATTTAACGTAGATTTTACATTTCACCTTTAATTAATCTTCAAATTATGCTACAATGTACCTGTTGATAACGGGTACATTAAAGTAAAATTCGAGGGTTAACACTTAATGTTAAGTAGGTAATTTCTAGCAAAATTTATCTCTGATTAAGGACCTGCCCGAAACTCCGGGTTATTGGCTTTACAAGTTAAATCATCAATGCTACGTACTCAGACCCAATGTACCTTCATATATATAGAAGACCAAGTGATGACGGGCAAGGCATAGTTTTAAATTTAGATTTTGCCCCGAGGGGCGAGTTTATTGGGCAGCGCCACTCATCCTGTGAGTGAACACACCGCCATAGCAACATGTACAACACTCCAATAGCTGGGTTGTTTATCCTGTCACTTGTACCCAGACACAGCTGGGACTTTACTATCACGTGAACAGCTTCTCAAAACTAGAAGAACAACATTGTCAATCCTTAAAGTCTTACGTTATCGTGCAGGTGCAAGACGGGAAAAATCTCTTAACAGTATGTTTGTTTTCTTAGCTTAATGTGGGTATTATGCTACACATTTCTAATGACTTAAAATGTTCACACTCTCGGGTAGTTGTCAAAGCCGTGTCCATCACTACAGATTCTGCAACTTTGCTGCCCAACTGTTTCCACTCCGAATCTCCATGGATATTTATCCAAGACGGATTCTCACTATTACTGATTCTCTCCCGCGGCTACCACCTCTTCGTCCATATTGATTGGGATTGCCAGTCGCAACCACATTGTATCAGTTCACATTCACTGGCTTTTTGGTCTATCCTCCTTACCTCAGCAACATTGTCACTGATATTGCCTGACAATACCTCTAATTTGTAGAAGTCTTTGGTATAAAAAATCTATATGGTCTTTCAGCAGCTAGCAGAACATCTGTTGTGCATTTCCAGATTCCAACATGGGAGGGAATCCACAGAAATTTGACTTCCTTGATTGGTTAGTACTCTCAACTTCGGATTTCAGCAGCTATTGCAAGACTTCCTGCCCGACTAAGGCTTTGTAGCGCTGTTTGTGAATCGCTGCAGATTACTGCAAATTGGCGTTTCGTTCAAGGAACCTTAACGCCATAACAATGGCAGTTAGCTCTACTTGCGTTGAAGAGCCGAGTTCTCAATACGGGCTTTTCCTTCATTGTCACATTGTAAGGCATTATTCCTCATTACCGTGTATGCTGCACCAGCCCTGCCATTGACAGTGTTAGACGACCCATCAGTGTAGAGTGGATCCAATTCTTTCCCAACTTCTTAACTTAGTTCATCGTTTTATTCCGTCGTCGAAGATGTTCAGTTGAGAGACTGTCCTCGACGCCTTCTCTTGTGTGGTGTAGTTGGCCGGACCTGGGGACGAGGGGAAGGCAACATTAGGAATGACAAGTTTCAAGTAAATATTACACTTCTTACCGTTACGTAAATACAGTTCATTAAGCCTGCGTTAAACACTAGCAACCTTCACTACCGCCCACAGGATGGTTATAGGTGTGCACAACTAGTCAATGTATGGGGTCCATTATCACCCATATGATGGGGTATGGGGGGTCCACTATCAATATAAATAAGATTAGACAAGTATGGACTAAGACACACAGAAGCTTACGAGTTCATTAACAATGATGGAATATGGTAACAAGAGACTAATATTAGCGAATAACGTCCAAATATTTAAGCTAGAAAATTAATGATTGACAATATGAAACTTGACATTTTAAGTGCAAAGTTTATACAGTTTTGTAAAATGTGGAGTCTAGGTGGTACACTGGTAAGTCTTACATATTTTAAGTTAAGAACTTGTGCATGTGCGGGTTTTATTACCCGTTTAAAGACTTATTATGAATGATTATATAATGTCAATTATTTGTCCATAATACCACCTGCCTACACCCCCTCCCCCCAGCGGGCAGTTGATGCTCCATCTAAATCTCTTATCACGCATTAGCCTACAGTTTGTGATATTTATGAGGTATAAATATGGGACTACTGATAACATTACTGTACAACCCATCCACCGGGCGGCAGTATATACCATTGTATATAATGTGTGGGGAACGAACCATTGTTGTAATTTATATAGTGCGCTTATTATAATTTACCGAGAAGCACCAAGATTCCCCCTAAGTGCTAACCTTTAACAGGATGCACTGTAGAATACTGGTTTAAATCATGCATTGAAACATTAGTTGACACAATAGAGACTTATAACGTTTGTTTATTTTACTAAAGAAAATTTTATTTTTAGTTTTAGTTTAGTTTAGTTCATCTGTCAACAGCCATCATCTTCGCTGACTTCACTATAATCTTAATTATTAAACCTTAAAATTACAAGCCTAAAATAAAGAGCCATAAGTGGCAGATATGAATCATAGGCGAATTATAGACCTTAATTAATAATAGTAATTATTAGAATTATTATTTAACTTTGACCTCAAGTCAAATACATTATCGCCTGGGAATATGGCTGGCCCTCAGGCCGCTCAGATAGTCAGATGGTAGCCAATCATGTGCACTTAATCCAACCTGCGATTCGTCAAGGAAAATTGAAATAATGATAGTTTCCCCCATAAAAAGGAGGGGGGAGGAGACGCGACAAGGGAGCAGGAGGGGGAGGGAGAGGGGAGGAGACGCGACAAGCAAGCAGGAGGGGGGGGGGAGAGGGGGAGGAGACGCGACAAGGAAGCAGGAGGGGGGGAAAGGGAAGCAACAAGGAAGCAGGGGGGGGAAAGGGAAGCAACAAGGAAGCAGGGGGGGGAAAGGGAAGCAACAAGGAAGCAGGGGGGGGGGGGGGGGGAAGCAACAAGGAAGCAGGGGGGGGGGAAGGGAAGCAACAAGGAAGCAGGGGGGGGGGAAGGGAAGCAACAAGCAGGGGGGGGGGGGAAGGGAAGCAACAAGGAAGCAGGGGGGGGGGAAGGGAAGCAACAAGGAAGCAGGGGGGGGGAAAGGGAAGCAACAAGGAAGCAGGGGGGGGGAAAGGGAAGCAACAAGGAAGCAGGGGGGGGGAAGGGAAGCAACAAGGAAGCAGGGGGGGGAAGGGAAGCAACAAGGAAGCAGGGGGGGGGGAAGGGAAGCAACAAGGAAGCAGGGGGGGGGGAAAGGGAAGCAACAAGGAAGCAGGGGGGGGGGAAAGGGAAGCAACAAGGAAGCAGGGGGGGGGGGAAAGGGAAGCAACAAGGAAGCAGGGGGGGGCGCAACAAGGGAGCAGGGGGGGGGAGGGGGGACGCAACAAGGGAGCAGGGGGGGGAGGGGGGACGCAACAAGGGGGAAGGGAGGGACGCGCCAAACAGCAAGAGACGAACCTGGAACTGGTCACCAAAAGTGAGGTAAAACCACACTGAAGTGAGTTTTGTCTCATCGTCTCTTTTATAACCAGCAGCCAACCAAACTCGGCCGCTGATTGGTTGACATTCACCCTAAACCTCACCCCATTGGTTAACATTTTGCGAGTCTGAAGTGTCAATTATCACTGGCCAACAGCCACTCCTTCACTTCCCCAAATACGAACGAGTCTCTAATGAACCAATAATGATCCCCAGCTTAAATGTTTGAAGTTGTTAATTTCAAAATCTAATTCACAAACCAAATACAACATTCTATTGTAAATGTTGCAACAGAACAACAGGTACAACAGAACAACAGGTACAACAGAGCAACATTTGCAGTAGAATCGGCAGTGAAGTAGTAATCGTCCGTCAGTCCAGAACTGTTAATGGCCGCTCCACAACTAATTTATTTATTTATTTATTTATTTATTTATATATACAAAAAAAGTACATTGGGTTTAGGAGAGAACACAACATTGGTGTTTTTACATTCTTGTAAAGCCACTAACACGCACAGCGTTACGGGCAGGTCCTTAATCTGACAGATAATTTTACGTAGGTAATTTCTAGCAAAATTATTTTTTTTTTAAACTTTAACTGCCCCCCCCCCATGCCCCTTGTTGCGTCCCCCTCCTCCTCCTGCCCCTTGTTGCGTCCCCTTCTTCCCTCCTCCTCCTGCCCCTTGTTGCGTCCCCTTCCTCCTCCTGCCCCTTGTTGCGTCCTCCTCCTGCCCCTTGTTGCGTCCCCCTCCTCCTCCTGCCCCTTGTTGCGTCCCCCTCCTCCTCCTGCCCCTTGTTGCGTCCTCCTCCTGCCCCTTGTTGCGTCTCCCTCCCTCCCTTTTTAAGGGGGAACTAACATTTCAGAATTGTCTTGGGTAATCGAAGGTTGGGTTTAAAGTGCACAACGCTGCGTGTGGCACTATAGCAGACCTCAGACTGACCTGTGACACTCCTCTACCCCACTTGTGTCACGCGAGGAAACTACATGACTAGTTCTGTTCTTGGCAGTCAATGTTACTACAAAAGTGTAGCTTTTATTTTTTTTCTAACTCCCCTCCCCCCAAAAAAAAAATGGTTTCAGCCTTTAATTTCTAAAGTACTTTACAAACCTCTAAGTTATCTACATCCCTAGCCTAGAGGCTTAACAAATGGTTTGAGTATCTTGGATAGTATATATTAACTTAACAGGTAACTACCAATTTAAGTTTGAAACAAATATCCTGCTTAACATTCTCGTGTAATTATTACAAAGGAAAAATTCTTCAATATTTTCTTCCTTGGCTTACCCTATTAACCATATTTTTGCACCAGGGTTAAGTCTGAATGCACTCTTTAGTCTTAAATTGATATTATTTTTCAGTTTCTTGTTAAAATACTAGTGTGGGTGTGTTGGGTCTCCGGGGACCACAGACCTTGGTGTTCCTCCCGTATCCTAAGCAAAACCAATTTTCGTCAATGCCTCTTCCTTCCCTAAACTTTTCCTTCAGGGAAAGTTTACAGTTCTCAAGACACTAACCGGTTTCAAACTAGTTGCTTTCCAGTTCCATATTACGTCCAACAGTTCACTCTTCAAGCGGCACTCTTGTCCCTCCAACCCCTTCCTCCATTTCAGGTATCCCAACTTCCATTCGCCCCTCGGCCTCTACCCCAGCTTCTGTTTTAGGTTTGGCTACTCAGAAGTAAATGTCTATATAGCACGGGCTATAGTGAGCCCGTAAGAATTCCGGTTTCCTCCAGCTTCCATTGGTCCCAGCTTGAGTCTCATCCTTCAAGGCCACAGCAAACTCGACACTCCATCCTGTGGAATACCTGATAACATCATGGTTAGTACAAAGTTTGTTTGATTTTATTAAACTCTAAATTCCATAGATCAAACCAGACATGTACTTCGAGTACCCAAGATGTAGGTTTAGACTCAACATGTCTTATTGACCCCTTTGAGTAAATTTAGATTAATTTAAATTTTAATTGTTTCAGATACATGAAGAGGGCTGGTAAGAACTACCATTTCTAATGGTGCGTGAATACTAATGCCTACAGCTGGGATCAAGCAAACTTCTTCTAGTCTTGGCAGAGGCTTCCGTGCAGCTACTTAGTATCCAAGAAAAGGATAGAAGGCTTCATAAAGAGTTATCGCCAGAAATGAGTTTACTTGTTAGTGTTTAACGGCTATAAATTAGATACATGTGCATATAATAATTGATACTTCCTTCTCCAGGCTCGGGCGACCACAGCCAGACAACTGGGAAGGGAACGAGGACTCTCGGTGCTGGAGAACATCTATAATGACGGCATAAAGTGGCACGACATTGCCTGTCACCTCGCACCTCGTGGTCTGTCATCTGACGTCAGCTTCTGATATAATTTTCCCCGCCAGAAAGTGGCCTAGTTTCCTGGAAGGTGAACTTGTAAAAAAATATTAAAATTTAACCTAGCTCGCAATCTTCTTAAACCATGTAGCCAGGTTTCTTAATGTTCCGGGCCTATACAACTTGCCACCTGACTACCTTAAGTGTTAGAGTAATTCCCCCCCCCCCCCATCCCGGGGGAAAAACTCCTTAACTCGTCGGTCAAGGAAACTATTAATGGCTTGTGACTTCACGGTCACAGTATATTGTAACGATGCAGGTGGAGTATATGTACAAAAGTAGCCCCTCCTCCTCCCTCTAGACCAATGTAGGTGGATTATTTGTGAAACATGATTGTGGCACCATTTTGGGCCTCGCTAGGTATCTACGATGGTTGGTGGTGGTATTGGTATCTTGAAGAAACTTGAACGCTGGCTCGAATCTCCAGTATTCTAAAATAAATGTTACCATGTTTTTATATTCGAACCAATTCTAATTGGGCAACTAAATGACTTTCTTAGTTGCCTATATTTCTTAATCCACAAAACTTCATTCTATATTGCGCCCAATTAGAGTAATAAATATCTAAACTATTACTTTTCTTGTACAAATTATAAATGCGTATTTATACATGGAACAGATTTAATTAAATCTAGTTTTAGAGAGAGAGAGAGGGGGGGGGGGGAGGAAAGTATCAAAAGAAAGCACCAGGCTATGAAGGCTATGCAGCACCATCAAATATCACTAAGGATGCCAATAGGAAAACAAAAGTGCATAATGCGAAAGATATCTGATTTGCCAATGATTCTATCGAGAGACTTTTGACCGCGAGGGACGGTTGGGAAGCAAGACACGCTCGTCCTGGAAGTCAGGACATTCAACAAGAATATGCACGACTGTAAGAGGGACAATGCAGTTTGGACAATAAGAAGTATGGCGGTGCTCGATTAGGTGCCCATGAGTTAAGAGTGTATGCCCAATACATAACCTAGCCAGAGCTGTTTCCCACCACTGGCTATGGTGGTAGGAGGAAGGCCACAGAGACAAAAGGCTCTTAGGAGTGCGCAGTTTACCAATAACAAGACCACCAACCCTGCCAATGGGCATGGTTGGAGGAATGAATAACTGGGTAAAAGTCTGAATAAGGAATACCTTTACAGGAGATAGGGACAAGTGTGGATAGCTTCCGTAGCAGCAGCGTCCACACGTTCATTTAGACATACAAATATGGCTAGGATTCCCGCAAAACTCCAGTCTTAATCTACTAGAGATAAACGGCCAATGTTGAATCAAGACTACCACCAGATGGACTGGATTAAAGGACTAGAGCCAGTCGACTACAACAACAGAGGATTGATTGATGAAGATTAAGCCACCCAAAAGGTGGCACGGGCATGAATAGCCCGTAAGTGGTGGCCCTTCTGAGCCATTACGAGTATCAAGAGCTGATACTGGAGATCTGTGGAGGTGCAAGTGCACCCTGCGTGACGGGAAATGTCTCCCGTCACAACAGAGGAGGATTGATGGCGAGAAAGCAGTTGACGAGGAGCATAGAGAATAGCAAAGTTCTGCCGTGAAGATGCAAGTCTTTGGAGGCAGGCGACACAGGTGTAGTCAGGAAAAAGAGTAGCCTACACTGTCTGCAGACTTAGACCCATCGGTGAAGATGGAAATGGAGTGGGAGTGTGTAGAAGAGTTTAAGGAAAAGACATTTCAGAACTGTAGGAGTGGTAAAATCTTCAGTGACTTGGGGTCAGGGTTTTACAAAATTTAAAAGTCAGAAGCGTAAGCCTGGCTCCTCTCCTTCCTCCTCCCCGGCGGGTAAAAAGGCTTCGCTTCCTTCCTCGCCCCCTGCTTCGACACTCGCTCCATCCCCTCCCGTTCCGGTGGTTACACCCCCTAGCTGTTCCTGCTATTGAGGTCTCTTTGGCCCCCGCTTCCCTCTCAGTTGGTGCCCTTGCTGAGGTGCATCACTTGGTTTCTGCCCCTCCTGCTGCTGTCCTTGACCCTCGGTTATTCCCCCCTCTTCCTCCTCCGGACCCTACTCGTCCGCCCCTGGTCGGTCCTCTAGCTCCCTTCCCTCCTTTACTCAGTTTACTCATGCCCCCTAACCCTGACTTCGCTGACCCTGACCCTGATCCTGCGCTTCTTTAACGTGCTGTGTTCCCTTTTCGCCTTTGTTTCTTCGTTGTTCTCTGTTGCTGTCCTTCCTCTTCTCGTCGATGTCATATTCTTCAATGGAACGTTCGAGGTTATTACGCCAATTTCCTTTAACTCCCACTTCTGATTTCGCGGTTTTCGCCCCTTTGTGTCTGTCTCCAGGAGCCGATGCTTGGTGCTCGTCCTGGTCGCTTTTGTGGCTATTCCTTTCTTCCCCCCCCCCCCCCAGTTGTTGCTGGGGCTCCTAACTCTTCTGCTCGCTTGATTCGCTCTGATGTTCCCTTTGTCCCCTTATTCTTTCCTTCACCTCCTTCACCTCTCCATTGTTGTACTGCTAGTATTTTTGAGAGGAAATGGTACACCGTTTGTTCCATTTATCTCCCCCCCCCCCGAGTGTCCCGCTTTCTCTTCCTGATCTGAAACACCTACTGGACTCCTTGCCAGAGCCTGTGCTCCTGCTGGGTGATTTCAATTGCCCTTTGTGGTGATGTTCTCACGAACACCCGGGGT